TTGCCAACTTTTCCTACAGTTTATGACAGAAATTAATTACCTTAATCCTGCGAATGCTCACTATAGTCTCTGACAACTTCTCAATGGCCAGAGGAAAGAACAGGGTCAGGGTGACCTTAATTGTACCATACAGGGACATGGTGACAAACACCTGGCTGGCAGTCATGGTGTTCCCCAAAAGAGTGTAGACCGTGAAGGTAACAAAGATTATGAGCTTGCTGCTGGCAAAGAAGGAAGCCATGTTGAGTCCTCGTAGGTAGGAGCTCTTTAATATCCGACTGATTTCTTTCCTACAAACATAAGAGAACATATGTAGATGGATTACATAGTTGAAGCAAAGTTTTAAGTTTAAATTTGGCAGGATGTTGAGCAACATCGGTTTCACTTTGATATGTCTATGACAGTAATTATATATTTAATTTTTAAGTTATGAAGGAAAAAGGAAAGAAAAGTCAGAGTGTAGCTTTTTGTGAATTCCCATGTTCTCCCTGTGCCTGCATAAGTTCTGTCTAAGTACTCTTGGTTATCCAATACAGCAGGATCCAAACCTCCCACTGAGTTTAGGGATCACTCTTGATATGAGTTTCAGCAGGAGGACAACAGTACCAATTAAGAACACCCCAGAAAAAAGAGTAATATAACTTTTTCACAAATTGAAGAAAAGACAAGCACATAAAATGTAAACATGTTGCAAAAGGAGGATTTATGTAAGAGTTGTAGCTCACCTATGTGAAAAACGTGGAAATCCTAAGTGATTTTCAGAAAAGTTAACCTCTGACCTTGGGGTTAAGGTCAGCGGGATTTTGAACTTATCTGAGATTTCTAGTAGGTGCATCATTGGTCTGAATTTGAAAATCCTATGTCGCCTCATTCTGGAGTTCATTCACAAACTTGGTATTGTCGTCCTCCCTGTGTTTTGACGACAATACCCCGTGAGCCTGTCAGAGCTGAGGGGCTAAATCAGTTGATGATGGAGAGGGGTACCAAAAAAGGATAATATATGCAGTAGTATTCTGCTGGTTCAGAAAATGATTCGTGTCAAAACATTACCAGTTTGTCTGTGATTCTCATCCTTACTTTCTAACTTCAGTCACCAGGGCTGAGAACCATTTCTCCCAGACATACATCTTGATTATCCTTATGCCAGACACCACTTCATTCATGATACGGATTCTGCTGTCAGTAAGGACTGCTGTTTTGCTCCTGCCAAAAAAACAACAACAAAAAACTCCACAACATGTCATTGAGGCCGCTAGTTTTCCTAATGATACATTATAAATAACATATTAGTGCATGAGAAAATAGACACAGTCATTGAACATTGTTAAACAGCCCTGTCATGGTCCTGGGTTTGGACTCGGGTTTCAGAGTTTGGAACTTGTTTTAAAATGTTTTTAGATTCATAGGGAACATTTAGTTCTTAGTTCGAATCTTTTTAGTTCAAGTTTCTATTTCTGTTGGTTGGGTTGTTCTTCATCGTTTGATTTTCTTTGATTCATTCTTGTTGGCTCTTGTTCCCTTATTTCCTCTCCTTGTTTTTAGTTTGTCATATTGAGTGTTTCGGTTATTCATTCCCTGTTTTATTTTGGTTGTCATTTGTTTCTTGGGTCTTGTATTTAGTTTTACTTTCTTTTGTAATCATCTGATTAGTTTCAGCTGTGTCTTGTTTCCCTGGTGTTTCCTGTCTGATTTCTACATTAGCTCCGGTCTTGCAAAATATTTGCATGGCTTCAGTATCAGCTTTAACATTCCCTAGTTATCTAGGTGGACATAAAATACACTAAAGTTAAAAATGGGAGTCCTACAGAGGAGTTTATGTGTGGGTTTGTATGCATCAAATGTGTCTAATGCCAAAGCAACAAGGTTTAGGATTTCTATGACTGCAGTAAAATTCCCTCCATCCATCACTTACTCATCTGACCCAAAGAAAAAATTAACATAGGACAATCCTTAAGGCTACGATGAAGGTCATTACTGATACAGACTGATTATACAGAACCTTAAACACACTTCGATCAGGTAATAGAGCTCATACTCTTTAGAGAGATCATATAAATCTACATTCTTCATGAAATGCAACAACTCAAAAAAAAGTAGTTTTTGTCACAGTGGTGTGATGATCAGCTGTGCACTTAGCATGCTGAGGTTAAAAACTCAAAAATGGATACAGCACAAAAGGCTAAAAGCCAAAAAAAAAAAAAGTTACACAGAGAGTATTTTGGGAAATTTGTTGAGAGTTGAGATGTCAGTGGAGGACTTTTTTTGACTGTGCCAATCTTTCTATAATTGAAACCGAGTTGGGAAGAACTCTGCAGAAGTTCGGTAAAATAATGTGCCCACAGTAAGAAAACAAGAGAAACAGAAGGTTTTCTGTGTATTAACAAACACTTCCTGCTTTATAATTACAGGAGAGTCTGGGCAATGAGCTACCAGAACATTTTGTGTAATTTCAAACATTTCTTACAATTGAATTTGTGCGAACATGTCTTTCATTTACTACAGCAACATTTCTTTAGAAAAGAAAAATCACAGCGCCACTCGTCCAGCCTGCTTAAGATCAAAGTAAGTTGTATGTGGCCCTCAAGGTAAAATGAGTTTGACCTCCTTGGTTTACGAAGTACCAGAGGAGGGCAGCAATGCACCTTTGTGTCTAAAATCCAAGAAGAAGTCTGGCAGTCTGCCTGTTTAACCACCTTTGTATGTCTCAGTTCGGGTTTTGGAATTTCCTGGATTAGTCTTTTTTGTGTGTGGATATTTTGGAGCTTGTGAACATCGGGCTTCTACTTTAATAAAAAGGTGTGTTTTACATTTGCCCAATTTGCCTATGAGTCCTGCAGTCGGGTCTTGTTTCTTGCTGGACGTTGAGAGGTCTATAGATTGAAAGATCCATGTACTTCTCCAGTTATCCTTTACCTGAAGATGCCGAAGAGTTTTCCAAACCAGGTCTGTATCGGCATCATAACTGCAATTGTTGCCACACCTGCCAGGCACGAGGGGCCGATCTCATACCAAAGGAAAACGATGATCACCATTGCTTGCAGAGGTCCCGCCCACAAGTAGTGCAGTCTGAGTGTAATCTGTAGAGGTCATTATAAATGACATTTTGAAAAGTGTGTGACATTTGGAAGTGGCGGTCACAACTTGGATAAAACTGTCAGTCACCATAAGGAGCCTGTAATGTAAGCAAACATAGATGCCCAAGATTTGGAGAAATGTGCTAATGGTCAACAAATTTTAGGAATACTCAATAAAGTGTTGGGTAACTACATGCCGATAGAACAGCTTTAAGATGCTTGTGATTCTCGTGTGACTGCAATCACCCTCACATGTTAATCAGTCGTGTCAGGCTTTAAGCTATCCCAAAAATGATTCCTTTGTGGCATTAACAAAATAGCCGCAGAGACTTGCTTTTAATGCCTGACTGCAGTTAACCAGGGTGGATGAGCATGTTTCATTTGTGGAAGTACAGATGTTTTATTCAGATGCCTGCCTAATATTTTTGAAAACAACTTCCTGTGAATTAGACAAAAGTAAACTTAATTGTCCTACCCATACAAAAATTGCCTATATACATCCTTATGACATAGCTAGCTATCAGTTGAAGGTTTGCTCTCAGTCAATCTCATTGATTAGAAGTTATTGTGAGGTCTTGTATTAGCTCAAAATCAGTCATCTTGTGATGCCACCGTCTGAACAGGGACTCGCCAGACCTTATGCTCTATAGATGGTGTGCTGTAATCCTGGAAGTGGACAGAAATGTTTCGTCATACAATAAATGTGATCTCTCTGGACAACTTTGTATTGATTTGCTTTATATTGACACTTCAGACCTCTTCCCTGCCCTATATACACTCAACAAAAATATAAACGCAACACCTTTGTTACTGCTCCCATTCCCCATGGGATGGACGTAGAGACCTAAAATTCATTCCAGATACACAATATAACCATCCCTCCCAAACAGTGGTCACAAATCAGTCCAAATGTGTGGTAGTGGGCACATCTGCTATATTGAGATAATCCATCCCACCTCACAGGTGTGCCACATCAGGATGCTGATCTGACATCATGAGTAGTGCACAGGTGTACCTCAGACTGCCCACAACAAAAGGCCACCCTGGAATGTGCAGTTTTGTCTCACAGCAAAATGCCACAGATACCACAAGCAATGAGGGAGCGTGCAATTGGCATGCTGACAGCAGGAATGTCAACCAGATCTGTCGCCCGTGCATTGAATGTTCATTTTTCAACCATAAGCCGTCTCCACAGGCGTTTCAGAGAATATGGCAGAACATCCAACCGGCCTCACAACCGCAGACCTCGTGTAACCACACCAGCCCAGGACCTCCACATCCAGCAGGTTCACCTCCAAGATCGTCTGAGACCAGCCACCCAGACAGCTGCTGGAACAATTGGTTTGCACAACCAAACAATTTCTGCACAAACTGTCAGAAACCGTCTCAGGGACGCTTGACTGCATGCCCGTCGTCCTCATCGGGGTCTTGACCTGACTCCAGCTCGTCGCCGTAACAGACTTGTGTGGGCAAATGCTCACATTCGATGGCGTCTGGCACGTTGGAGAGGTGTGCGCTTCACGGATGAATCATGGTTCACATTGTTCAGGGCAGATGGCAGCTGAGAATGTCCCAGTTCTTGCATGGCCAGCATACTCACCAGACATGTCGCCCATTGAGCATGTTCGGGATGTGCTTGACCGGCGTATACGACAGCGTGTACCAGTTCCCACGAATATCCAACAACCTCGCACAGCCATTGAAGTGGAGTGGCCCAACATTTCACAGGCCATAATTGACAATCTGATAGACTCCATGCGACGATGTGTTGCACTGCATGAGGCAAATGGTGGTCACACCAGATACTGACCGGTTCTGGGTCCCCAGACCCCCAATAGCGCAAAAAACTGCACATTCCAGGGTGGCCTTTTGTTGTGGGCAGTCTGAGGTACACCTGTGCACTACTCATGATGTCAGATCAGCATCCTGATGTGGCACACCTGTGAGGTGGGATGGATTATCTCAATATAGCAGATGTGCCCACTACCACACATTTGGACTGATTTGTGACCACTGTTTGGGAGGGATGGTTATATTGTGTATCTGGAATGAATTTTAGGTCTCTACGTCCATCCCATGGGGAATGGGAGCAGTAACAAAGGTGTTGCGTTTATATTTTTGTTGAGTGTATAACATCAAGCAGAGGGTCAAGAGTTCAGATTTTTCATCTTTATCATTCTCCTGTGGCAAGTTAGTGTAGTAACTTTTAAATAATATCTAAAAAAAACCCTGTATTTACCACAAATACCCATCTACTCAAATACCTAATGAAAAAATGTTTCAAAGGGTACATCCAGGTTAACCCTCTGTCCTTCTGTTGTCTCGGTTACAATTCTCCAAATGTAGTTTCGAGTTGGTTCTTGACCCTTACAAATTTAGGTCATCTGTTGCCTTACCTCATCAAAATGATTAACATCATTTGAAAGTAGGTTCACTATTTGACCGGTGGTTGTTCGTCCGATGGATTCAGTGCTGAGACCAAGAGCCTGATGAGAACATTTTTACTTAACAGCTTGAAAAATTTACAAAATTATTCTGAGAGTTGTGAGCTCAAAAATTTGCATCTCTTGTGCAAATTTTCTGAATCTTCACTGACCTTCCTGTAGATCATGTGACACATAGCCACTCTAATCCTCATGCCTGTTCTTTGGACATGATAGTAGTAGAGATGTTGGAGGATAGTCAGTCCAAACGTGGAGATGGACATCGCAGCAGCGTAAACATACGCCATGCAAAGACTCCTCTGATCATCTGGGTGATAATTCTCAAAGAAAAGGATTATTTTTCCCAGAAGAAGTGGCTGGATCACTTTGATTGCCTCCTTTACGACAAAGACAATAAATACATAATGGAATATGCAAACAAGCTTCACTCTATCCATTACTAGTACTGGATGTGGTAAATTGGTTCAAATATCTGCTAGTAATACAATAATACAGTAAAACTACAGTATTCCTTTTTATTTTAGCTCATCTGAAATAATATGGCCAGAAAACCGCACAAAATCTCAAATACGACCTGTGCATGAATGATTGTTTTAACACTGGTGCCAATTGTAAATATTCACAACATACCAGAAAAAATTCAAATAGGCCGGCTAATGCATAGGACTTTCCATAGCACTTTATAAGAACCCTGGAGAGCTGCGGCTTCCATAGTTCCTTTGAAGCCTTTTTTACTTCCTCGTTCCAACATCTGCAAATCAAATGAATTTATTAGTTGAGCCCAGGATTTATAAACACATTTCCAACAGAGGTGCTTTACTATTTTATGAAAATTATTTGCATTGAAATTTGATGGCAGCAACATATCTCACAAAGTTGGGACAGGGCAAGAGAAGGCTGCAAAGGTAAGTGGCACTAAAAAGAAACAACTGGAGGACTTTGAGGCTAATTAGGTTAATTAGCAGCAGGTCAGTAACACAATTATCAGACCCTCGAAAGCACTTGATATTACAAGCAGTGGCAGGTTGACAGAATGGCAATCCACACTATAAAAAAATAAAACATTAACTTGAAACAAACAGACATGTTTCTTAACCAGCACCACTTCTGGTTTTGTCACATTAGCCTTTTGCTGAAGTACCTCTGCAGCTCCTCTCCCAGGGTTTCAGACCGATCCTCCGGAAGGACACTGTACATGTCACCTTTCTCGAGCCTGTGTTTTTGGCCAAGCTGTAACAGGGGGTTTAACCAACTGAAACAGAAAAAAACAAACCATTTCCATCTGGCAGAGAAAAATACAAATCACTGTGGTTTAGAAAAGACATATCTAAGCTGACTGTGAATGTCTGAACTATTTGTGCTTAATGAGTTATTTGGAGAAACAGTGTTTCTAGTGATGGACTTGGAGGATCTCTTAAAGCTAATGCTGTTCACACATCAAATATCGGCCACAGTCCCGGAAGAACATTTAAAATTACAATGTAAATTCACAGGTATCCAGCTTCTTGAATTAACAAGCAAGTGATGATGATCAGTGTATGAATAACTAATAAGCACAGGAAAGCAACTGGTGCTGAAAGAAAAAGACAGCTCTTTGAGGCTGGCTGTGGGAATGAATCAATCTGCATACTGTAACAACCCTTTTGGGTTATAGCACCACTAGGGGGGGTTGCCCTACTATTGTAGTAGCTATGGGAGTCTCCTAGGGGGTGTGTGAGTTGTTAGCGGCAGCCATTACATGCTGCTCGTGTTCTGTTCTCAGGATAGACCTCACCGTTGTAACGGCCTGGCACCGGCGACTACCGATCCCCGCACATGTATGTACGGACAGTGTAGAGCCGTGGAGACCTGGCTTGTATGGTCTTATGTTGCTGACAAGGAATAAAGGTCTGTTGTTTAATTTAACTGACTGGCTCCGTGTTATCCGGCTAACCTCCACACCACATGCCCGCTGGACCGCTCCTTCCTCGCCAGACTGCTGTTACAATACGCTGACTTCACACTGCAGTCCAGAGAAACGAATGACTACACCCACTTCTATATAGTCTATATATAAACCTTTAAAAAAGCAGTGTGTACGACTTAGGGCAGCTAGTGGTGAAGTTGCAGATAGCAAACAGCTGCTCTGGCCTCGCCTTCATCTTCCGAGCAAATAGGAATACTTGCTGTGACTGCTAAACATGTTAAATGTCGTCTGTGAAACGAGAGAGGGCCCTGGTTTGTTTCTCTGTAAAGCCTTACAGAGTTCACTGAAGTCACTTAGTGAGCTCATTGCAATAGTCTCATCAGTTTTCTCCAATAAAAAGAAACGGCTGATTAAACTAGATGTGCAATAAAGAACGTGTTTTAACTTCTATTTGCATGAAAGCTTTTCAAAAATACTTGAGAGCCTCAGACTTTGTGAGAGCATCAGTTTGCACATTGGGACTGGACCAAGACGTACATCGGAATGCCCGTAGGGGATATATCACGTGATGTTCTTTAAGTAACTGACACATATTTGTTATGTACAATATGTACAAGCCCCTATGCGAAGGGGAAGCCTATATTCAGTCACCTATGGAATATGGACAGTTTACATTTGACATTTATAGAACGATTGACTTACACTCTCCCTGTAGATATAACGGGCCTTTTTTAAAAGCCCACTTTAAAAAGATCAAAAGATCCGCAAGCCCTTTAAGTTCTAACCTATTTGATTTCTCAGTTACTTGTTACCCGAGTCTTCTAGTCGTTACTGAGTACACAAAAATAAAAATAAAAATTCCCTCTTCGCTCCTAGATTCCGATTCATCTCTATGATATACTTTATTCCCATTTCAGACGGAACGCTTTAATATTTTTTGGGAACGCAGGCATCTGTTCAAAGCAAATGGATTTAATTTTAACAAGTCAGGGGTGAAACTGTTCACCTCCAACTTGTTTTATTCCATACGTCATCCATCCGTGCTTGGTGCCAAGGCTGAGATAAACGAGGAGTTATCTCATAAAGAGGAACAAACAGTACTCCAAGAACAGACAAAGCCCAGCAGAAACCTTGAGGAGGAGCTCCATTTGCCCCCACCCGGGAAGAGCCTCAGAAAGGAGAGACATCCATGGCATCTGAGGAAGAGCCTCAGAAAGGAGAGACATCTAAGGCAAGAAGAGGGGTCCCTATTTGCCTCCAACTCTCTCAACAACACCAACGACCAGGACAAGGGACCACGACCTTCCCCAGTCCCCAAACCCCTGACAGGCCATCACCCTCCTCCCCCTCCCTTTCTCCCTCCTCCCCACACCTGAAATTCACTGAGGAGATGATGGAGCGGGTCAATGCTGGGCTCAGATCTACCCCCCGTCCCAATCCCTTTTTGTCCCCCATAAACCCCCCACCAGAGCGGCCAAAGGTTCGCCATCGAGCCCCACCTTCAACAGAGCAATCGAAGTCACATTGCCCAGCCTCGCCCCCCTTAGTTCCTCTTCATGCCCTGTCTCCGCAGTCTGATGCGTGATGTGTGAAGGGTCCGGGCTGTGAGGATTATGGCAGTGATGACTTTTCCCAGGAGAAGCTGGGACCCTGTTTACTAGAAGGTTTTAAAATTTCTGTACTTTTAGGTGACAGGAGACATGTGGCCTGGTCAAAACACAGAGAGCTGCACTCTAAAAGATCTTTAAACATAGTAAACATACCTTGTGTGCCACAGACTGCTCCCAAACACGAGGGGACAAGTAATACCTCTAAAACACTTAAGTTGGCTTTATTAAACATTAGATCTCTAGCTGGGAAAACATTTTTAATTAATGATTTAATCACTGAGCACAGCCTTGATTTTATGTTTTTAACTGAAACTTGGTTGGACCAAAGTAACAGTGGAGCTGTTCTCATCGAGACGACCCTCCTAACTACAGTTTTATCAGTGAGGTCAGGGCGAGCAGGAGAGGAGGAGGGGTTGCTGTCTTATTTAATGAATCATTTCAATGTAAGCAGCTATCTCCTGGAAGTTTTCAGTCTTTTGAATATGTGGCTTTACAGCTGAAGGCCCCATCCAAAGTTGTGTTTCTTAATGTTTACAGGCCTCCCAAATACTGCACAGACTTTTTTAATGACCTCAGTGAACTGCTGTCTGTGATCTGTGTTGATTTTGACTGTGTAATTATTGCTGGGGATTTTAACATTCATGTGGACAACCCTCAGGACAAAGGGACTAAAGACCTGAGTAACACTCTGGGCAACTTTGGGCTGACTCAGCATGTAACAGAGGCCACACATAACAGAGAACACACTCTTGACCTACTGATCTCCAAAGGCCTGAGCATTTCAAAGGTTACTGTGTCTGATGTGGGCCTGTCTGATCATTACTGTGTTTTCTTTGAAAGTAAAATCTCAGCCCACACAAATATATCAACAACAGTGATCACAAAACGGTGTATAACTGAACACAGTAGTGCAATTTTTAACCAGGTCTTCCCATTAACACCTGACCTGCCCAGAGGGTCAGTCAATGAGCTCGTCAATAGCTTCAATGCTAACATGTTAAATGTAATGGACACTATTGCTCCCATTAAGGTGAAGGTTATCTCTGGAAGGAAAAAGTCTCCATGGAGAAACTCCACACTGGTGAAAAAAGAAAAAAGAGAGTGTAGGAAAGCTGAGCGCAGATGGAGAAAAACAAACCTCCAGGTTCATTATGACATTTATAAAGAGAAACTTCACAATTATAATTTACAACTGAGGAATGCAAGGAGGTCCTACTTCTCTGACATCATCACTAAAAACAGCCATAATGCTCGGGTCTTATTTTCTACAGTTGACAGGCTAACAAACCCTCCTGTGTCAGTGGCAGCTGAACTTCATTCGACCATGGCCTGCAATGACTTTGCCAAATTCTTCACTGAAAAAATCCAAAAAATTAGACAAGCAATTGGTACATCAACAGCAGATCCAGGATATGTACTGTGTCCACCAAAAAACTGTTTAAACACCATGAAACAGTTTCAACCTATTAACAGCAAAGACCTGGAGGACATCTTAGGTAAACTGAACTCCTCCTCCTGCTGTTTAGATGTCCTGCCAACAAGTTTTTTCAAAAAGGTCTCAAAGACTTTAGAGTCAGACCTGTTACAGATCGTCAACTTTTCTTTATTATCAGGTGTGTTTCCAGAATCACTAAAAACTGCTGTAATCAAACCTATACTGAAAAGGACAATCTTGACAAGACACAAATGAACAACTACAGGCCGATCTCAAATCTCCCGTTTTTAAGTAAGATCATTGAAAAAGCAGTTTCTCAACAGCTCAGTTACTTCTTAAAACAGAATAATTGCTACGATGCCTTCCAGTCAGGTTTTAGACAGAACCACAGCACTGAAACCGCTCTGACCAAAGTGTTTAATGACATATGTCTGAATACAGACAGTGGAAAAATGTCAGTCCTAGTTTTACTGGATCTCAGTGCAGCATTTGATACAGTTGACCACAACATATTACTCAAACGACTGGAGAACTGGACAGGTCTTTCAGGAACTGTACTAAACTGGTTCAAAACATACGTAGAAAACAGGAAATACTTTGTATCAATAGGTAACTTCACATCTGAGCAGACAAGTATCACATGTGGAGTTCCCCAAGGTTCCATCTTGGGACCCCTTCTGTTTAACATCTACATGCTCCCACTGGCACAGATTATAAACAACAACAAAATAAACTATCACAGCTATGCAGATGACACACAAATATATATCACAATGTCACCAGGAGACCGAGGCCCTGTACAGGCTCTTGGTAAATGCATTGAGGAAATCAATGACTGGTTGTGCCACAATTTTCTCCAGCTAAACAAAAACAAAACTGAGGTAATAGTCTTTGGCGCCAAAGAAAAACGATTACAGGTCACCAGAAAACTTCAATCTATACATCTAAAAACCACAAACCAGGCGAGGAATTTGGGTGTAGTGATGGATGCAGACCTAAACTTAGAAAAACACATTAAGACAATAACAAAGTCAGCTTACTATCACCTCAAGAATATATCAAGGATAAAAGATCTGATGTCTCAACAGGACCTGGAAAAACTAGTCCATGCATTCATCTTTAGTAGGCTTGATTACTGTAACAGCATCTTTACAGGTCTACCTAAAAAATCAGTCAGACAACTACAGCTCATTCAGAACTCTGCTGCTCGAGTCCTCACTAAGACCAAAAAAGTGGACCACATCAGTCCAGCTCTGAGGTCCTTACACTGGCTGCCTGTCCGTCAGAGGATAGACTTTAAAGTTCTGATGCTGGCCTATAAAGCTCTGAATGGTTTAGGACCAAAATACATCAATGACCTCCTGACCCAGTATGAACCATCCAGATCCCTCAGGTCATCTGGATCCGGTCTTTTATCAGTTCCCAGAGTCAGAACCAGACACGGAGAAGCTGCATTCAGCTTTTATGCTCCTTATATCTGGAACAAACTCCCAGAAAGCCTCAGATCAGCTGAAACACTCAGTTTATTTAAATCCAGGTTGAAGACTCACCTGTTCTCAGCTGCATTTGAATAAAGCACCAAATCCACACTTTAAGCTTAAATTTCAAAACTTACATTTAACTACTGATTTTATCTACTGTTCTGATTTTATCTGTTTTGATTTTATATGCTGTTTTGTTTGTTTGTTTGTTTGTTTGTTTGTTAATTAGTTAGTTAGTTTATTTGCTTGTTTTAATCAATTTTAAATCATGCTTTTTATTTGTTCTTGTTTCTAATGTCTCTGTAAAGCACTTTGAATCACCTTGTTGTTGAATTGTGCTATACAAATAAACTTGCCTTGCCTTGCCTTGCCTAACTGCTGTCACTCAGTGCGGAATAATTTGCAGAAACTTTCTTCTTTCTTTTGACTGATATACTAACAACATGCTGAGGAATCCAATATCTTCATTAATGCACTTACCACAAAAAGACCCTTGAAAAAAAGCTGGCAGTGGCCAAAGGATTGCGCCTGCTGTCTGCCTTTGTAGTCTCCATATTAGATGGGTGCTCTGAGGCTGCTGTCTGTACCCATCTGTACACCGTGTTCACTCAGGGATAGGGTTGCCAACCGTCCCTTAAAAAACGGAATCGTCCCGTATTTAGAAACAAAAGTACACGTCCCGTATTGAGCTAATAAGGGACGCACTTTGTCCCGTAATACAGTGAGAATCAAAAGTAGTCTATAAATGTTAATGGAATTAACGCTTTGTTTGAAAACATAATTCCCAGCCCCTCTCCTGCTTTGTGACCAATGAGCTGACAGCACACTTATGACAATTCGAGTATGACAATTCAGATTACCGCTTATCTCATTGGTCGAGGAAAGGTCGCTTGCGGAGAAAATACCGGAAGACAACAGATGACCACAACAACAAGCATGGCCAACAGGGAAACAAACGCTGACACTGCGGTGCAAGTCTCGGACTACAGTACACCTAAAGCTGGGCAGACACTGTGCGATTTTTTTTCATTCACGTTATTCAGCTCCTGCTCAAACTGCACGATTGACTCACAGGGGTTAGAAGTTGGTAGGTCACGATGCAGAGTCTCACACTATACCGCCCGATGCTCTGATGAGACCTGAGTGCTCACACTGTGCCTCCATAAAATGAAGGTTATAACAGAAATTCTGTCGCTCGCTCTCCCTCTCTGTCTTTCACTCACACAGACACCCCACCACCATCAACTTTGCTAAATTGAAAAACATTGATCAGGCAGCTGTGATTAAGCAGCAGTGTAAATCAAACTATTTTCACGGTTGTTGTGGTCGTGATAATTTTGTGATGCCACATCGAAAAGGCTCGGATGAGCTTTCCAAAGTTCTACAAGTTGTGCCTCCATCGCTTGGGTCCAGATCACACGCCGCACAGCCATGCTGCTCCATCTTTTACACCGACGTTTACGTGTTAGCGCGTGAGCGGCTGTGTTGACACCCTCACGACCGATTGATGATCGGGAGCTGGTCGTGAGGTGTTAATCGCTTCTCGTTACCCCACGTATACTACACGATGCACGATGAAGGCCAAATCGGGCCGATCACCAAATCGGTCGCACGACTCAAAAATCGGCTCAAAATGGGCCAAAAATCGCACAGTGTAAGCCCAGCATTGGAGCAGCAATGTTTGTTCGCTCAGAGAAAGAAAAAAAGGCTGCAAAAGTACAGAGAGGAATGGGAAAAGGAAAACACCTGGCTGGAAAAGTGCACGATAACACCTTTAAAGCGCACTGCACTGTGTGCCGGCGCACTTTTTCCATAGGCATGCTTCTAGTGGTGGGCACAAGAAGAACATGAGGGGTATGGAACTCCAAAGTGTTCAAAATTAAATAAATAAATAGGTCAAGATGAAATAAATAACTATGTGAATAAATAAGACACAGATATGTAATGTGAGAATGATATTGTGAAATAATGGAACACATTTTGAAAACAATGCTCATTATTGTGAAACATATTACATTCTGCTATATAAATTTTCTTATTATTGTGAAATATTATTTCATGGTCATTATTTTTCACAATAACAGAGATTATTCCTGAGGCATTTTATTTATTTCCAGCCGTTTTTAGTCCAAAATGACCTTTTTTCAAAGTCAGTCTTTATTTCAAAATCCCGTTTTTCCCGATGGTCTATTTATTTCATAATGCGACTTTAAAGCAGAATGACTTTGTCTGTCAATCAAGAAAGACAGGGCGGAGCCAGTTGTGTGATTGGTTGCTCCTTTACTCAGACATAAGTAATAGCACATGAATTGTCGATTTAGGTTTAATGGTGCAATGCATCTCCTATGCAGCTGGCGGCAGTATGCAGCTCAAAATAAAGTTAAGGCACCGACAAATGCAAAACACTGGGCGCGAATAACGTTACAGGTGTATCAATTCTTGTGAAGGGCATGGCTGCAGGAAACAAGTCCGTTTCTGAGTTACTCAGAGAACTTGCTAACCGCTTAGATTGAACGTCTTCACCTCAGTCTGCGTATTGCAGCAGTGTACTGGAGATGAAGTGGTCCCTGGTCCAAGTTCTCATCACAACCGCACAGTGTTAACGTTAGCAAATGCTAACGCTATCACAGCTAGCTCCACTCCACGAAACGCTGTTCAGGGTAAGTAACGATATGTTATTATTGCTTGGTTAGTCTGTCTGTCTGGCAAAAATGAGCTTTTTAATCAGTTTAGTCACAGATTTTTTTTAATACTGTTTTTTATCATAGCAAAGAATTCTATAAATTAGGTAAGAGAAAATAATTGTCTTCTGGGTTAATGTCTGTATTACTATTTACATTGTTGTAGGTAATAGTTATTCATGACTGTTTTAAAGTGGCTTATCTTCTGTGCTAATATGGAAGACAAGTAATCTATGTGAAAGAAAAGAAAGCAATTTTAGTTCAACGTAGTGATTTTGTAAGTGGGTATAATTTGAAAATGCTTTTACTAGTACAGTGGATGTTCTTTAAATATTTAACATTTAAAGTGTGTGTCACTTTACAGACTCCAACTTCAGTTTTGGTTTGGTCTCACCGTTGTAGGTCATAACACAAACAAGTCGTCAAGTCAAGCAGCTGAGGAAAGGGCTTAAGGAAACCATGGTATGGCCGCTTCTGACAGAAAGATCAGACATCATTCCTCCTTTCTTACCAAGGGAATCAGAGACTGCTCCCTGTTGTGAGGTAAGGTCAGGTCACATCTTTTAACATCTGAATAGTAAAGCTATTTGGTTAATTTATGAAGGATGAACATTAATTGTTGACACAAAACACCAATATACTGTTTTGTATGCGTGGGTTAGTTGAACAGCTGGGTTACATTTAATAAAAATACACCTAATGTTGCTGATGCTCTTAAGACTACAAGATAAGTAAAGCTATAAAATGACTGTGGCCTGCCACAGAAGATGAAGATGAGGAAGAAGAGGAATGCTCTCGAGGATAAATGCAGAGTGGCAGGTTACCTTCGGTCCTTCATTGAAAATGGTAAGTCTGCTGCGATAGGTATTTTGCCATTGGTTTTCTCTGATTATACTTTGGTAAATTACATACAGTCCAGTGATCTTGGGTCATTAACAAAGTACACTATAGTAGAGCTGGGCGATATGAGATTTTTTCATATCACGATATTTATTTTTATTTTTTTATAAAAAGGACAAGAGCGGTGAGGTCTATCGCAATAGTTTAATTTTTCTATTGAGAAAAGTTATTTCGCAATACATATCGTTATCGTTCTATCGCCCAGCTCTACGCTATAGTATAATTTTGTTTTGTTATTTGCTCCATGCAATACATAAGAGTGGTGGCATTATCAGTTGCACTAGAATTGTATGTAGACTACTTTTAGCTTTGTTAACATAAAAATATCTATAAAAGCTACAACAGCAATTTGAGTGGGGCAAAAATGTCTGGTGCCCTGTATGTAAGTGGTCATCTTTTATGGTATTTCTCCATAAAAGATTCAAAATAATGAATATAGGATGTCATTATAGTTTAAAACAATCTTCTGTTGCAGCATCTTGTGCACAACAAAAAGCCCTCATCAAGTTTTGGACAGGATGGGAAGTCTTGCCGAGAAATGACTGTGGAAGTGGTCAACAGCAATCTTCCAAAGTCTTCCACCGGTTTTGAAGTACTACGTCTTCCTGCACACTACTGTACCTATGAGTCATTTCTAATGGACATTCAGGTGTGTCTCAACTCTACTGACTCAGGTTTTGGTCTGGTTTACGATTGATTCCATAACCACATGGTAAAATTAGACCATTTCTTCTTTCTTGCATCACATTACTGTACTCGGTGTTCAAAGAAACAGACAATCTAGTGAGTTCTAGTTCTTTTTAATACACTTGACAGTGAAAAATACAGAGTACAGGTGTGCATTTATGGCTTTTTTAATATAAACTGATGAAGAGTTCAGATATCAAAATCAGTTGTTCACTGTACATTATAAATTACACAATATGTTTTGTTTATACTCGCTACTGATACAAAAAAAATTTCTAGAAAAAATTATTTGAATTAAGATGTTACACTACTGTACTGTGTTCATTGTATTAAATCTGCTCAGAGTTGACATGTACTGTATATCCAACCAAGAAATGAATATCATTAAAGTGACAGCTGTATAAAACAAATCCTGTTTTATAGCCACTCACTGTTTTGTTGAAAATGAAATTGGTTATGCTGTTTTGAGTCAGTATTAGCTACAAAGCTGTAGAAATTAAAAAAAAAAAAAAATCCTCCTGACATAGAAACTGATTAAATGTAATAATGTCTTTCTACAAGTGATTTTGAAGTATTGGTAGCACAGCAGGGTCTTGTTCATTCAGTGCATCTGGGAGCTGAATCTCAGGAATGGTGATCTCATTTGATGGGCAGCGATTATGTTGTCCTGTCCAGTCCACACCATAATCCTCATCAACCTGAAAGAGCATGCACATGTTTTAAATCTAAACTGAAGAGGTGTTTCCTGCAGCTGTTCCTAGATGGACTTATTGAGTCTGCCAGGGCCTATGTGAGTTGCTTAGGCATTGGCTACCAACTAATTATTCATTCACCCATTCTAGGTCAGGATTGGTTCTCTTCAGGTATAACAAATTTAACTTTGTTTAAAGTATTGCCATCTATACCTGACAGGTGGGATAAAAGAGAATGGCTTGGGAGGCGCACAGCAAATCTCAAAGTTTTCCAATTAATGCTGAAAGAACCAAGGATGTAAATGTATTCTTGTTTTAGCTTTACCGAAGACACCAGAGAAAGTATATCTATAATGCTGCTGAAATAGACAAAACCATTTCAATAAACTCGCTATTTAACATCAACCTTGTTATGCGTTATCAGAGAACAATCAACTGCAAACAGCAATGAAACATTCAACTATGTACTATTTAAAGCACTAATGACCCTGTTGTCTAACAAGATGTGATAAGTAAGTAGACTGTGGAAAGCTGGTGAGTCTACTCTCTGTGTAAAAGGTTCCTACAGGCTCCACTGACCCCAGTCTCCGAGTTAACACACTAACAGCTAACACTGCTAAACGTGTCTCAACGCCGAGATGGCGCCGATAGCTTTAGCCGTAGCTGCCCCACTTAGTTTAGACAGTAACAAAAAAAGTAAGCGATAATAATTCATTGTCAAACGTC